GGGCGGCGCGGTAGCGAGTGTCACTAGTGCGGAGGTGCGATAATGAGGTCAGCGACGGTGGAAAGGCAAGCAAGGTCAGGAAAGAGGTACGGTAGCATGAGGCGGCTCAGGGCAGGCAGGTGGCAGGGGAAGAGTAGCGCGCAACTTACAAGCGTCGTACAAGGTCTGAGCACTCTTGTACTGACCTAAAGTGCGCGCATGCTCAGTGGTAGGCAGGTTGGCGACGCACAGCAAGACGTGCAGCAGCATCGCGGGTGGCCCACTGAGAGCGAACGAGTGGGGTCAGCATCAGTAGCAGGGGCAGGAGAGGCGCCAGAGGTGAGGTCAAAGAGGGAAAGACCGTCCGCCCTATCGCACTGTAAGAACAGCTGCAGGTCGTCGACCCAGACCTCAAAGTCAATGGCTCGACCCTCAGCGTCAAAAGCGAGGACGCTAGGGGTAGCCATGACGACGACAGACGAGCAGTGCAAGCAGTAGGGGAAGGGCACGCAGTGACAGTGGGGGCTGTGCTCACCGGACAGGGCAGGGTCGGGCGGCCCGGCAGTAGGGCGGCTCGGCTGCTCAGCGGCTCGGCGGCAGTGCAGCTCGGCGCCCGGGCGGCTCGCGGCAGGGCGGCTCGGCTCCCGGGCGGTTCGGCGGCAGGGCGGCTCGGCTCCCGGGCGAATCGGCGGCAGGGCGGCTCGGCTCCCGGGCGGCTCGGCGGCAGGCGGCTTCGGCTCCCCGGCGGTTCTCTGCTGCTAGGCGGCTCCCGCAGGTAGGCGGGCGGTTGGGCCGCAGGTAGGGCGGGCGGTCGGGGCCGTAGGTAGGGGGGGCGGTAGGGGCCGCAAGTGGGGCGGCGGGCAGGCCGCAGTTAGGGCGGGCGGGCGAGCCGCGGTAGGGGCGGTGAGTGGGCCGCAGGTAGGGCGCGTGGGGCCGGGACGGGCGGCGCGCGGCGGCGTCGAGGGGACGGGACGGGCGGCGCGCGGGGCGTCGAGGGGCCGGGACTGGCGGCGCGGCGGGCGTCTAGGGGTCGGTCCGGGTGGCGCGCGGGCGTCTAGGGGCCGGGACGGGCGGCGCGTGGGCGTCGAGGGGCCGGGACGGGCGCGCGCAGGGGCGTCTAGGGGGCCGGACGGGCGGCGCGCGGGCGTCTAGGGGCCGGGACGGGCGGCTCACGGCGTCGAGGGGGGGCCGGGAACGGGCGAGCGCGCGGGCGTCGAGGGGCCGGGACCTGGGCGGCAGCGCGAGGGCGTCTAGAGGGGCCGGGAACGCGCGGGCGCGGGCGTCTAGGGGCCGGGACGGGCGGCGCGCGGGCGTCTAGGGGCCGGGACGGGCGGCGCGCGAGGCGTCTAGGGGCCGGGACGGGCGGCGCGCGGGGCGTCTAAGGGGCCGGGACGGGCGGCGCGCGGGCGGCTAAGGGCCGTGACGGGCGGCTAAAGGGGCCACTAGGGGCCAAGAGAGAGGGGAGCGCGACCCGGGTAGGGGCAGAGTGCGCTCCGGGCAGGAAAAAAAACGGTGGGCCCTAGGAACAGTTCCCACGAGGGAACCTGCTCGATACCATGAGAAAAGTAGAACGAGAATGAATGAACTATGAATGAAGTGAGTACATATAGGAACCCTAATTGGGTTGTACCCCCTATGGGATACCCCACTATAGCCTACACAACAGCATAAGCTATATATATGTTCTGACACTTACAGCCCCAACGTAAGACTCCACATATCTACGGCGAACGCGTGTTCAGTACTGCGCATCTGCCTTATTGTGCATACAGTTCAATATTGTTGGTGACTACGAATTAGTTGTTACATTAAAGATTGTATGCGGTTCAACCCCATTATATGGTCGCAGAACAAATCTCCCTCAACCGTGCACATACCGCGACCTTTCACTCCTGCCGCGCGTTTCTAGTGTGCCTCTTATAGACGCCCATGACCACCTCGTTTTCGACTCAAACCCTAGCGTATACGGGACAAGCAGCGGCTATATTAGATCGTAGCGGAATGAGCACCACGCGTTCTAAGTCGCGAGAAGTGCTCGACCCTCGGCGGCGAAATACGCGAGGTTATTTCATACGGCAGAATCCCACGATAGCCTATGCCATCATGCAGGTGCAGGGTGCCGTACTTACTCACCGAGGTGACACTCTTAACGCAGCCACCATTTTGAGGGCGCTAGACCCATTCCTCGATAGTGGAAGGCGCAGCCCTAAACAGCACCGGGCTCGTGCGATTCTTGAAGCCCGTGCATCTCTTGCCATAGCTGCCGATGCACCTACCCCGTTCATGTACCTGAGGCTAGTTTACACCACTTATCCTGATGTGTTGGAGCCGATCCTAACACGTGCGAAAATCGTAGGTTTCTGACGTCAATAGCGGAATACAGACTCGTGAACCACTCAGCAACAAGTCTTTGTTATGTGATGCTATCATTTGCATTCACGTCTGTCTGCCTCCCATCACATGTTCGTGCGTTGCATGCGTGGTGTGAGCGTGTGCAATAATTTGTGTTTGGTGTGGTTTGGAATTTCAGAGTGTGTGTGAATGCTATTTGGCTTGAGCAGATATCTGAAGTGACTCCTCTGCTCAAGAGCTTTCCAACGAACCAAGTATCGCTTCAATCGGAGCACGAACAAGAAAGTTACGAATGTTAGAAGTTCGTATGCTTTTGATATTTGGTTGTGGTGACTATGGGAAGTTGTGGGGTTTGACTCCATATGGGGTACAGACTTTTGGGGGTTGGGAAATTCGTCCCCATCACTGTAGATGCTGCCAAGTGGTTGGGAGAAAACCAAATTGGGTTGGCAAGTGTGGCCAACTTGGGTGAGGTGGATTGTGGAGGTTGGGAAATGGACAAAGGTCAAAGTGGGGTTCCTATAGGGAAGGGGTTTGGTGTGCTTATGGGGTTTCCTTGGTTGGGGACTCCTTGGGGACCTTCCCTCTCGTCCTCCTCTTCCCTCCCACCTGGTTTTAATGTTACTCTAACTCTCTTGTGTAGAAATTGTGGAACATGTGAGACAATTGTGATTGAGTTAAGAATCTAAGGCAGCATACCCCCCTGTGCGCCGAAATTGATAAGTCAAGAAATACTTCACCTTATCGTACGATTCAAATTGGGAATTTTAGCCACGGACTAGGGCTACAACATATCTGAGTTTGGTGAAATTTTGACAGTTAACGTTTTGTCGACGACGTTTTTTGTGAACTCGACGTTTCTGTCCAGAAATTGAGACCAACGATTTTTATAAATTTAGGGCCCACAATCTTCGTAGACCTCGTCCTTAGTCTCTAACAAGTGGTATCAGAGCTGATGAAGGACCTTGTGGGGAGTATACTGAAGTGTGAAGACCCTCCTAGACCCACCATGGCCTGTGGGCGTGCCTAAGTGGAGTTGTGGAGGTTGGATGTGACTTCCGCTAAGGAGAAACTCTGCCGAAATTTCGTTGGCGCCGACACTTGTGGAAATTGTGTGGGACTTCGGTGTGGACAGCAAAAGGGGAGCTGGAACCTGTGATTGGTGACAAGAAACCGTCCTGCTCTAAGCGCCGCCACAGAGTTAGAAGCAGAGCCTAGGATCAATCCGACGGGCTCGGAGCAAGGATTCCGTAGCAACTTAGATCACTGAAATCGCCCCAAGAGATGAGAGAGCAATAGTTGTTCATATAAGGATGGGTACAACATACGTCAAAGGAATTTAACTCTCTGATTTTCTCTCTGGAATTTATATCTGAAACACACATGCAGAATTGTAACATCGAACCGCGCGCGACTCGCCAGAAATCCGGACTCAGGATCGCGTCCAATTTCCGCGACGTCCGCGTTCACATTTTCGGACTTTGCCGGGTTCGTTTCTTCACGCCGACAATCGTGTGTTACAAGGAACAATAGCGAGTGTAGCGAAATGTTCGTAACATTCGCTTGCACTCTCACTATTTTCGTGCATGCTTGTGGGGCTGCCAAGTGTCGCCCCCACAAAAGTTCGAACCCAACTGTGAGAATCTGAGGAAGGAATGATTGCATTGAGCAGCATGAGGAGTACAAGTAGGAAACCCTAAAGTGTTGTACCCCATATTGACTACCCCACTACAGCCTAAACAGACTATAGCATATATAGTTCGACACACCCCCATAGGCAAAGTGGGGGAGAACAAGGGGTCACGGGACCAGTCAAGAGAAGCAAGACAAGCCCAGGGTGGATCACAACGTCACCACACATTCTGAGCACAAGCACAAGGCCACAAGGCCAGTTCACAAGCAGAGTTATACATCAAGAAGAACAAGCAAGGCAGTAATCACAACCTAGCAAGAGTATGCATGCAAGTGCAGGTATATATAGATCACAGTACAAGCAAAGTCAAGAGGTGAGCAAGTGAGGCCAAGTTGTCAGAACATTATAGCTCATGCATATTGTGTAGGCTATAGTGGGGTAGCCCATAAGGGGTACAACCCAATTAGGGTTAGTACTTGTACCCAATTCATTCATAGTGCATCCATTCCTTGTTTCTTCTCATGGTATCGAGCAGGTTCCCCCGTGGGAACTGTTCCTAGGGCCCACCGTTTTTTTTTTCCTGCCCGGAGCGCACTCAGCCCCTGCCCGAGTCGCGCTCCCCTCTCGCGCGCCGCCCTAGCGCCCCCCCCCCCCCCCCCCCCCCCTTCGCGCCGTCCTTCGCGGCCCCTACTCCGCCGCCCTCACGGCCCCGATCCGCCGCCCTCGCGGCCCCCGATCCGCCGCCCTCGCGGCCCCGCTCCGCCGCCCTCGCGGCCCCGATCCGCCGCCCTCGCGGCCCCGCTCCGCCGCCCTCGCGGCCCCGCTCCGCCGCCCTCGCGGCCCCCGATCCGCCGCCCTTGCGGCCCCGCTTCGCCGCCCTCGCGGCCCCGATCCGCCGCCCTTCGCGGCCCCGATCCGCCGCCCTCGCGGCCCCCCCCCGATCCGCCGCCCTCGCGGCCCCGATCCGCCGCCCTAGCGGCCCCGGCCCCTGCTCCTACGGCCCCGGCGCCTGCTCCTACGGCCCCCGCGCCTACTCCTACGAGCAGCCCACCCGCCGAGCCGCCCAGCAACCGAGCAGCCCAGCCGCTGAGCCGCCGAGCCGCCCAGCAACCGAGCCGCCCAGCCGCCGAGCAGCCCAGCAGCCGAGCCGCCCAGCAGCCGAGCCGCCCAGCAGCCGAGCCGCCCAGCTGCCGAGCCGCCCAGCAGCCGAGCCGCCCCAGCCGCCGAGCCGCCCAGCAGCCGAGCCGCCCAGCAGCCGAGCCGCCGAGCCGCCCAGCAGCCGAGCCGCCCAGCCGTCGAGTCGCCCGAGCCGCCCTGCAGCCGAACCGCCCGAGCCGCCCTGTCCGGTAAGAGCAGCGCCTCTCTCACAGCACTGCCCTCACCTACTGTTTGCACTGCTAGTCTACTGCTGTCATGGCTACCCCTAGTGTCCTCGCTTTTGACGCTGAGGGTCGGGCCATTGACTTTGACGTCTGGATAGATGACCTGCAGCTTTTCTTACAGTGCGACAGAGCAGACGGCCTCTCCCTCTTTGACCTCACTTCTGGTGCCTCTCCTGCCCCCGCTGCTGATGCTGACGCCACTGTTCGCTCACAGTGGGCCACGCGCGATGCTGCTGCACGTCTTGCTGTGCGTCGCCACCTACCTACCTCTGAGCGTGCGCACTTTAGCCAGTACAAGAGTGCTCAGACCTTGTACGATGCTGTAGTTGCACGCTACTCCTCCCCTGCCACTGCTGCACTGAGCCGCCTCATGCTACCGTACCTCTTCCCTGACCTTGCTGCCTTCCCCACAGTCGCTGACCTCATTACGCACCTCCGCACTAGTGACACTCGCTACCGCGCTGCGCTTCCTGCTGAGTTCTGCGCCAAGAACCCCCCCCCATGTACATCACCCTCTACTACATAGTCACCCGTCTCCCTGACTCCCTTCGCGTAGTCAGGGACCACTTCCTCTCGGTTTGTCCACCACTCTCACCGTTGACCTCCTCGAGAAGGCCCTCCTAGCAGCAGAAAAGAGCATAGTCGCTGTAGGAGCCTCTCGTGGTGACCCTCGCACCCCCATCTTTGAGGGGTGTTCCCCCTCCCCTCTTTTGCCCTCTGTTGCCTCTGCTGCTGCGGCCGACCTCGCTGGTTTGGAGTCGGTTGGGGCAGCGTCTACCCCTAGCGGGAGACGCCGCCCTGGCAGGGGCAAGGGGGGCAGGGGCGCTGGAGGAGCGAGCGGGGGCGGTGGAGGCGGCGGTGGAGGCGGTGGAGGAGGTGGGGGTGGCGGTGGGGGTGGTGGCGGGGGTGGAGGTGTAGGTGGCGGCAGTGGAGGCGCAGGCGGCAGCGGCGGTGGCGGAGGGAGCGGAGGTGGCGGTGGTGGAGGAGGAGGCGGCGGAGGAGGTGGAGCTGGTCGGGGTGGCGCTGCGCAGAGGGTCAGCTCCGGTGGTGGTCAGCGCCAGCAGCAGCAGCAGCAGCAGCAGCAGCAGCAGCAGCAGCAGCAGCAGCGCACTCGTGACGTCCCCTCCCCTCAGCAGCTCCGTGAGTGGTACACTGCACGCCAGAGGGGTGGGGAGTACTGGTCCGTGCACCTACGTCCTGCGCACCGGCGACCGCAGCGGGTGAGCAGGTGTGGGGGTGCGCCACTCCACCCAGCGCTGCTTTGGCCGCCTGACGGACGCTTGGCGTCACCAGTTCCCTGAGGCCACTGAGATCCCCCGCTGGGGTGAGCTGTCTAGGGCGGGTGTCGCTGTCTTTGACCTTGACTTTGATGCTATTCTTGCTGCCATGTACACTGTGACTATTAGTGATGAGGGTGACTGTTACCGGTGTTTTCCGCCCGACCCGGGCATTGAGACTGCTGCTCTAGGTACTGGTGAGGCTGCTGCTCTAGGTGCTAGCGAGGCTGCTGCTCTAGGTGCGTCTGCTCCCTCAGGTACTGGTGAGTCTGCTCTCTCAGGTTCTGCGTCGGCTTCGGCCTCCCACACCTTTACCCTTGACTCGGGGGCTTCTCGCTCCTTCTTTCGAGACCGCACCACACTCACGCCGCTTGGCCGGCCAGTTGCGGTCTCTCTGGCAGACCCCTCTGGGGGTCCTGTCCTTGCTCACTTCTCCACTGTCCTCCCGTGTCCGGCGGCCCCCTCTGGCACCCTTGTCTGGTCTTTACCTCCCCTCGTTCTCTACGAACTTGGTGAGTGGTGCTGACCTACAGGATGCGGGGGTTCACCAGTTCACTCCTGCGAGTCAGCGGGTGACCCACTGCACGGACGCTCGGACAGGCCGACACCTGGCCACGTTTACACGTCGGCCGGGGTCGAGCCTGTACACACTGACCATTGCGTCTCCCCCGGTCCCTGCGTCTGGTCAGGTAGCTGCGTCGGGTCAGGTGTTTGCTGCAGCGTCCAGGTCTGGTCCTGAGTCTGCCCCCTGCTCGTGTCGCCTCCTGTCTCACGAGACTCTCCTCTGGCACCACCGCCTTGGTCACCCCTCCCTGCTTCGTCTCCGGAGCATGGCCTCCCGTGTCCTTGTCTCTGGTCTTCCCCGGTCCCTCCCTCCGCTTCCTCCGGGGCCTGGCCCTACCTGCGTCCCCTGTGTCGAGGGACGGCAGCGGGCTACCCCTCACTCCTCCCAGTTTCCTCCGACAGAGGCCCCGCTGCAGACGCTTCACATGGACGTGTGGGGCCCGGCCCGCGTCCGTGGACAGGGTCACGAGCGCTACTTCCTGCTGGTGGTTGACGACTACTCGCGTTACACCACAGTCTTCCCCTTGCGCAGCAAGGGTGATGTCACTGAGGTGTTGATCGACTGGATCCGCGCAGCTCGTCTCCAGCTCAGGCGGAGCTTCGGCTCGGACTTTCCTGTTCTGCGTCTGCACTCTGACAGAGGCGGAGAGTTCTCCTCTGGCCTTCTGCGAGCCTACTGTCGTACACGAGGCATCCGCCAGACCTTCACGCTTCCGGACTCTCCACAGCAAAATGGGATTGCTGAGCGCCGCATTGGCATGGTCATGGACGTCGCCCGTACATCCATGATGCATGCGGCTGCCCCCCATTTTCTGTGGCCGTTTGCGGTTCGGTACGCGGCGCATCAGATCAACCTTCAGCCCAGGGTCTCCATGCCGGAGACCTCCCCAGCCTTGCTGTGGACGGGGAAGGTTGGCGATGCGTCTGCGTTCCGTGTCTGGGGATCTCGGGCGTTTGTCCGCGACTTGTCTGCGGACAAGCTGTCCCCTCGTGCTGCTCCTTGCGTCTTCCTGGGTTTCCCCCCTGACGCCCCAGGGTGGCAGTTCTACCCACCCCACCTCTCGCCGTGTTCTGTCCTCCCAGGACGTCACGTTCGATGAGTCGGTCCCCTACTACCGCCTCTTCCCCTACCGCACTCCGTCCCTCCCCCCGCCACCGCTCTTCCTGGTACCAGGTCCCCCCCCGGTAGACCCCCTCCCCCCTCAGGGTCCTGCCCCTTCAGGTGTGTCCCAGGTAGACGCTGTTGAGCCTGTCGAGGTCGCTGGTGACTCTGGTGTTGCTGAGGGTGCTGAGCGTGTGGGTGCTACGCCTGGGGGTGCTGAGCCTGAGGGTACTACGACTGGGGGTGCTGAGTCTGGGGGTGCTGAGCCTGGGGGTGCTACGCCTGGGGGTGCTGAGTCTGGAGGTGCTGAGCCTGGGGGCGCAGAGTCTGAGGGAGCTGGGCCTGCTGGTGCTGTGCCTGGCGGTTCTCCGGGTGCTTCTTCTCGCCGGGAGCCACTCTCTCCACAGGAGCTGCGTGAGTGGTTTTGCCTGGCGCTGGAGGCGAGCTGCTGGAGCTGGAGGAGCTGCGGGTACTGGAGTTTCTGTTGCTGCTGAGGGAGCTGGTGCCACGGGTCCCGGAGGTGCTCGTACTGGGCGTACTGGAGCTGCTGGACCTGCAGGTACTTCTGGAGCTGGAGCTGCTGCGGGTGTTGGCGCGGAGGCTACTGCTGTCGGTCCTGGAGGCGGTCCTGCTGGGGGTACTGCTGGTGCTGCTGGGGGTACTGGAGCTGGAGCTGCTACTGGTGCTGGTGCTGCCACAGGGGGTGCTGGTGCTGTCCCTACTGTGTCTGGAGTCGCCGCGCGACCTCGGCCGTACTTCGTTCCGCTCCTTCAGCAGGTTCTTGGTCTCCCGTCTTCTACTGGTCCTCCTCCTCCCTTAGAGTGTCCACAGCCTGTCCCGTCGCAGTTACAGTTACAGCCGACCTCCCCACTGCCTGCTCCGTCTCCCTACACTGGTCCTACTGGAGGTCTTGCTGAGCGTCGTGAGCCTGCGTCTCGCCCTGCGTCGCCTGTCCGTGCTGCTCGCACTAGTGGTCGTGGTTCGCGTCAGCGACCTCCTCCTGTCCCTGGCACGCACCGGATGTCCTCTGCGTCCGTCCACTGCTCCTCTGCGTGCCCCTTTGCCTTCTCCTCCTGAGTCTTCTCTTCCTGCTCTTGCCGACCCGGAGTCGGACTCTCTTCGTGCTGCCAGTCCTACTGTCACGCGTCTCCTTGCTACTGTTGTCACTGACCCTTCCTTTGAGTCCACTGCTGCGTCTGCCCTAGTTGCTGAGCTCGTCGACTTTGCTGCTCGCTGTCGCCTAGACTACGTCGCCAGTCTTGTTGCTGAGTCTGAGTCTGTCTGTCCTCCGTCCGTCGGGGGTGAGTGTGCCCTTGGCACGGACGTCCTTGAGGACAGGCAGGAGGAGTTCCAGTGCTTGGCCGCTGCTTCACCTCATCTCGTGTCCGTACTGCTTACCCCTGAGGGAGACCCGGATGCACTTGACATCCCGACTCCGCGCTCTTACGCGGAGGCGATAGAGGGTCCCTACTCCTCTCAGTGGCAGGCAGCTATGGACGCAAGAGATGGCTTCCTGGAAGTCCACAGGCACCTACGTTGATGCTGTTCCCCCTCCTGGGGCGAACATCGTCAGTGGCATGTGGATTTTCAGGGTGAAGCGGCCGCCGGGTTCTCCGCCTGTCTTCAAGGCGCGTTACGTGGCTCGAGGCTTCAGTCAGCGGCAGGGAGTTGACTACTTTCATACCTTCTCTCCCACCCCGAAGATGACCACTCTTCGGGTACTGCTGCACGTAGCTGCTCACCGTGACTACGAGCTACACTCTCTTGACTTCAGCACTGCTTTCTTGCAGGGCAGCCTGCACGAGGAGATCTGGCTGGGTCGCCCACCTGGTTTCACTGGGTATTTTCTTCCTGGCACCCAGTGGAGCCTACGGCGGCCAGTCTACGGTCTTCGCCAGGCACCGCGTGAGTGGCACGACACACTGAGGACTACACTTGCGGCTCTTGGGTTTGCTCCCTCTACTGCCGACCCGTCGCTGTTTTCTGCGCACCGACACTTCTTTGCCGCCGTTCTACATCCTCGTGTACGTCGACGACTTGGTATTTGCCACAGCTGACACTGCTGGACTCGCCCACGTGAAGTCCGAGCTGCAGAAGAGACACACGTGCACTGACCTGGGTGAACTGCGCAGCTACCTTGGCTTGCAGATCACTCGGGACAGAGCACGCCGCACCATTACCCTGACTCAGTCACACATGGTGCAGCAGGTCCTTCAGCGCTTCGGCTTCACGTACTCCTCGCCTCAGGCCACTCCTCTGCCTACTCGCCACTCGCTCTCAGCTCTGCCTTCGGATGAGTCCGTAGAGTCGAGTGGCCCGTACCCAGAGCTTGTTTGGCTGCCTCATGTACTTGATGACCTGCACACGACCTGACCTTGCATACCCTCTTAGCATTCTCGCACGCTATGTTGCTCCTGGGAGACACAGACCGGAGCACATGGCTGCAGCGAAGAGGGTTGTTGCGCTACTTGTGCAGTACGTCGGGCATGGGGCTTGTGCTTGGAGGGCAGAGTCCAGTGGTCCTTACTGGGGCACGCAGACGCTTCTTGGGCTGACGACCAGGCTACGCAGCGGTCGTCACAGGGTTACACCTTCAGCCTTGGTTCCGGCTCTGTTTCGTGGCGGGCTACTCGCTCGTCTTCTGTTCTCGGCTCCAGTTGTGAGGCTGAGATCTACGCAGGAGCCATGGCTGCACAGGAGCTTCGCTGGCTCACCTACCTGCTGACTGACCTCGGAGAGCCGCCTCGTTTCTCCTCCAGTGCTGTATGTAGACAACAAGGCCATGCTGGCCTTGTGTCGGGAGCAGCGACTGGAGCACAGAACGAAGCACATTGCTCTCCGCTACTTTCTTGCTCGTGAGCTGCAGCAGCGTGGTCAGCTGCGTCTTGCGTACGTGGCCTCTGAGGCCAACACTGCTGATATCTTCACCAAGGCGCTTGCGCCTTGTGACCATCAGCGCTTCTGTACTCAGCTGGGCCTTGTGCCTACCTTGCCTCACTTGCTCACCTCTTGACCGTGCTTGTACTGTTACATATATATATACCTGCTCTTGCTTGTCTAGCCTTTTTATATATATGTACTCCTGCATGTGAACTGGCCTTGTGGCCTTGAACTTGTGCTCGGAATGTGTGGTGACTTTGTGATCCACCCTGAGCTTGCTTTGCTTTGCTTTACTTGACTGGTCTTGTGACCCCTTGTTCTCCCCCACTTTGCCTATGGGGGTGTGTCAGAACATTATAGCTCATGCATATGTGTAGGCTATAGTGGGGTAGCCCATAAGGGGTACAACCCAATTAGGGTTAGTACTTGTACCCAATTCATTCATAGTGCATCCATTCCTTGTTTCTTCTCACAAGTAGGTACAACACCTAGCAAAAGTACAAAAGCGCTGATG